ATCAGTGTGGGAAAATTCTACTACCAGTCCTTCATCACCTTACACGAAATAGGGTGAATACATCTCATTAATGTAATGAGACAAACTTAGGTGATTACTCAGTCAAAAATTTGTCAACGAGCCTAGCTTGCAATGCATTATCTTAAAGAAAACCAAGCTCATTGTTACAAAATAAATCCTCAACATAGAAGACCAAATGAGGCATTAAGAGCAGTTAACTAATGTACCTGCAGTTGGTGCATCACTTCGACGAGCCTATGAGCCCTGCTTGCCGGCAATGAGCAACGCTGTTCGAGGATCACCTCGAGTTCGAATCGAGGTAGCGGATCGAAATGTAGTTCGACAAATCGGTTGCGAAGAGCTCGAGACAGCATCTTTCGACCTGCATATGCGCCAGGAGGGTTCTGAGTAGCGAACAGTCGAAAGAGTGGATGAGCTTTGACTACCTCTTGAGTTTCAGGGATAAATATTTCCCTATTGTCATCAAGCAGCTGGAATAGCCAAGGGTTAAATGCGAGAAAGTGCAAAGAAATTGTGACAAACGATGGATAAAAAAGACTTAAATAAAGCTACATGATTAACATACAATGAAATTACAGGCATTTTTATCAATAATATGATCGATAGCACAAAAGAATACTAAGAGGTCAACTCAATAATAAGGAGATTAATCAAACATGGGAGGTACTCAGTAAATGGTTTGAATCTATAGAATGCAACTAAAACAATAACGTAGTATGTAGTACCCTTCTTTTGCAACAGTATAATTTTGAAATCGTATTCGTGGCTTCTAGTGGTATCCAGCAAATAAACGGTAACTTGGTCCATTCTTAAACATTACATCAAAATTTACAAGTTATACTCCTTGAAGAAGGACCATGAAACCACAAACAAATCTCACTTCACTGAGAAATAGCAATCGAGCTGATTGTGCTCCAATTGACACCATATTTTTCTATTTCGCTTCTTATCCATCATACTGTCTTTAAGCTGCAGGAGTGACGAGTGCTTATGCGTGTATGCATTTAAATTAGCATGATTTTATACAATCTTTATCACTTTGCATATTGCATCCTTGTTCAATCAGTAGCTTGCAGTATGCCATATGCACGACAAGTTTTACTCCAGATCCCAATGTCTTGTCTGTTGTAATAAAAAAGGAGTACTCCCACCATGTGCCAAAAAAGTTGGTATTGACGATCTATAAGCAGTCTATCTGCCTATCTATTATATATATATATATAAGAAGAATAACTTACTCAATCATATCTAGCAGTAATGTCAATCTCGCATATTGCAAAGTGAATCTTAAAATCTTAAAGGCCAATTTGGTCAGAAGACTCTTCATTAAAGCAAATATAAATTTTAAAAAAAGCGCAGTCAAAAGCAGATACTAAAGATGGTGCCAAAACTTTAGTAAAAAAAAGGCCGAGTTAGCCCATAGGTACTGCCAGTTATAACTGCTAGACCTTCATGGAGCTGTGTATAGCGGTATCCGACTTAGTATGCCAAATCTACTTCGCTAATGCAGGAGTAGGGTCGATAACTAACAAAATTGCTTAAATACAAGTATTAACTTGACTTTCATTACTAATGAATGTATGCGACGAAAAGATTAGATCGACTTCACTAAAAGACGACAGTGGGTTTAGCCATGTACTATGCAACTTCTTACCTCTGGATCCAATAGTATCTGCAATCCTTTTGTGTTCCGCCAATTTTAAGAAGATGAAGCGACTGATCTACGCAACAAAATTTTTTGAAAGGCATAGTCATATTGCTCCATGAAGCTAGGCATAACGGTAAAAGCAGCATTTATTTAAAAGTATTTTAATTCCTCACTTTCTTAACACTTTGCGAAGCTTTATGGGACAAAGTTGAGATAAGAAAAAGAATATCTAACTATCTCTATCCATATGGTTACAATTCGAAATGCTATTACCTAATAACTTAATGTACTGCAATAGGTTTCTAGGCACAAGTCTCGATCCCAATGGTTCATACTCATAAGGCTCACTCAAAACCCAGTAACATTGAAATTGGTGTAAAATTGCGAGCAAAAAGGCAGTATAGTCAATTATAAGTATTCGCTCTTTATAGAACTGTAGTAATATTGAAATACGATCTAATCAACCAAAATTTGAGCATAACTATTCGTCTAGTGCAGTAGCTAGATAGTAAGGGTTATAAAGATGGTTTAAATATGGTGGATCATTGATAAT